CAATTCGTAAGCATTATTTTTAAAATGTACCAATGAAACCATTTATGCCCTGTGCCCATTTAAATCTGTGTATTTTCTATTTGCCTTGAAACAGCTGTTAATGAAAAAAATGGAAAGATGTTTAAAAGTTGATTTTGACATGGTTAGGTTTAGTCTTGGCTACTTGGTTAGCTTTTACAGACTTGTTTATGAAAGTGTCACTGATAATCCTAACATTGTGTTTGACTTAAAGTTTGTGGTTTGGGGAGCGAGCTGGTCTAGTGATAGAGCACGGGACTCCGGTTCCTGGGGTCCCAGGTTCGAATCCCGCCATTATTTTAATGGTCAAACGAAAGGGATAAATTTCTTCCCCTAAAACCCGCCTAAATATTGTGAACGAATAACCATTTTTCCTACTTTATCATTATGAGAAATACTTACACTCGTACAAAAAACAGTAAAATACGTCATTTATAAAGATTCCCCTAACTGTTTGTAAGTCTCATAGTTAATTAAGTAGCCAAGGCAAAACAAACCATAACAATACTCATTGTTGATTCTAACAGCTGTTTTAATCAATGCAATCTGAAAATCCATCTGTTCAGTTTTGCACCGTTGTTTCTGTATACGTGTGTTTAAGCGATTGTTTGTGTGCGTGAGAGAGTTAGTGTGTGTGTGTGTCTGCGTTTGATATCTGTTACAGTCCCACCGCAGGTAAGTGTAGAGACTTAGCTCTAAGCACATTCCCAGTTATAATGCATAACATTTGCAGGTTCACTGGGACTCTCCCCCAACCTCACACCCCAGCATCACAAAAGCTCCCTTAATTCTCACCCCTTCCGCTTAACACCGCCGTCTAGCGCAATCTGGGCGACTGCTTTATGTCTGCTACAGGTCTCAGTGTCTTTTGGAATCGGAAATACTGACTTTTAATGATCACAGAATTAAATATACGTTTAGGGACAATTTTACAGCCTTAATTGGTGTGTTCACTGTATTTTAATTCTGATTGCGTCGGATTTTATAATTGATCTACTGTCCCATTCATCTAGACCTACCCCTTAAGTCCTGTAGGGGTACTTAACAATAACACATGCTGAGAAACGAAATCTGTATGTCACAATACGATTTAAGTTACGAAAAAACGACGGTTATGAGTTTTAGAATGTGTGCAACCTTGATTGTCCTCGTATATGTACGTAGTGATTATTTGACTCTTTTGAAAAGTTTAGAGATTAATTAAATTGTTCATACATGTAGAGAGGGTAGTACCTCCTCTCTAAATGTATGCAAAAACTAAGAATAAAAAAATTAATTTTACTGTCCTTAAATTGAATTGTGAGTTTGTCAAGTTTGAGCAAGCCCCTGGTATTTTCACACGAAGTTAAGGTGACATTGGCAGTTTTCAAAACCTTAAATAATACTTTCTGATTTATACTTCTAACAATTTTTTATCTTGCCACATGGATGTCAGAAGAACTAACCTTTTACTTAATTCTAATTATCGTTATTTTTTTTTTAACTATACTAAAACCACATCCAGAATAAATATGCATTGCAAAGTTTTTGTTGTTGGCATATACAAAGATAGAAAGTTGGTCTGCTGAAATATGTCATTTATATGATGGATTTTAATGATTAGATTATCAAATAACTTAATCTACCTTTCGTTACCTCATCACTACTCAGCTGTAACTTTCATTATCAGCAGAGTGTCCTCCTTGCTGTCAGTGACACTAGTCTACCTGGCGTTACCAAATCACCATTCATCTGTCACTTTCATTATCAGCAGAGTGTCCTCCTTGCTGTCAGTGATACTAGTCTACCTGTCGTCACATCATCACTACTCAGCTGTCACTTTCATTATCAGCAGAGTGTCCTCCTTGCTGTCAGTGACACTAGTCTACCTGGCGTTACCTCATCACCACTCATCTGTCACTTTCATTATCAGCAGAGTGTCCTCCTTGCTGTCAGTGATACTAGACTACCTGGCGTTACCAAATCACCACTCATCTGTCACTTTCATTATCAGCAGAGTGTTCTCCTTGCTGTCAGTGACACTAGTCTACCTGGCGTTACCTCATCACCACTCATCTGTCACTTTCATTATCAGCAGAGTGTCCTCCTTGCTGTCAGTGACACTAGTCTACCTGGCGTTACCAAATCACCACTCATCTGTCACTTTCATTATCAGCAGAGTGTCCTCCTTGCTGTCAGTGATACTAGTCTACCTGTCGTCACATCATCACTACTCAGCTGTCACTTTCATTATCAGCAGAGTGTCCTCCTTGCTGTCAGTGACACTAGTCTACCTGGCGTTACCTCATCACCACTCATCTGTCACTTTCATTATCAGCAGAGTGTCCTCCTTGCTGTCAGTGATACTAGACTACCTGGCGTTACCAAATCACCACTCATCTGTCACTTTCATTATCAGCAGAGTGTTCTCCTTGCTGTCAGTGACACTAGTCTACCTGGCTTTACCTCATCACCACTCATCTGTCACTTTCATTATCAGCAGAGTGTCCTCCTTGCTGTCAGTGATACTAGACTACCTGGCGTTACCTCATCACCACTCATCTGTCACTTTCATTATCAGCAGAGTGTCCTCCTTGCTGTCAGTGACACTAGTCTACCTGGCGTTACCTCATCACCACTCATCTGTCACTTTCATTATCAGCAAAGTGTCCTCCTTGCTGTCAGTGACACTAGTCTACCTGACGTTACCTCATCACTACTCAGCTGTCACTTTCATTATCAGCAGAGTGTCCTCCTTGCTGTCAGTGACACTAGTCTACCTGGCGTTACCAAATCACCACTCATCTGTCACTTTCATTATCAGCAGAGTGTCCTCCTTGCTGTCAGTGATACTAGTCTACCTGGCGTTTCCAAATCACCACTCATCTGTCACTTTCATTATCAGCAGAGTGTCCTCCTTGCTGTCAGTGACACTAGTCTACCTGGCGTTACCAAATCACCACTCATCTGTCACTTTCATTATCAGCACAGTGTCCTCCTTGCTGTCAGTGATACTAGTCTACCTGGCGTTACCTCATCACTACTCAGCTGTCACTTTCATTATCAGCAGAGTGTCCTCCTTGCTGTCAGTGATACTAGTCTACCTGTCGTCACATCATCACTACTCAGCTGTAACTTTCATTATCAGCAGAGTGTCCTCCTTGCTGTCAGTGATACTAGTCTACCTGGCGTTACCAAATCACCACTCATCTGTCACTTTCATTTTCAGCAGAGTGTCCTCCTTGCTGTCAGTGATACTAGTCTACCTGACGTTACCTCATCACTACTCAGCTGTCACTTTCATTATCAGCAGAGTGTCCTCCTTGCTGTCAGTGACACTAGTCTACCTGGCGTTACCTCATCACCACTCATCTGTCACTTTCATTATCAGCAGAGTGTCCTCCTTGCTGTCAGTGATACTAGTCTACCTGTCGTTACCTCATAACTACTCATCTGTCACAGTCATTAACAGCTGAGTGCCCTCCTAGCTGTCAGTGATACTAGTCCACCTGTCGTCATCTCATCACCACTCATCTGTCACAGTCATCAATAGCTGAGTGTCCTCCTTGCTGTCAGTGATACTAGTCTACCTGACGTTACCTCATCACTACTCAGCTGTCACTTTCATTATCAGCACAGTGTCCTCCTTGCTGTCAGTGATACTAGTCTACCTGGCGTTACCTCATCACTACTCAGCTGTCACTTTCATTATCAGCAGAGTGTCCTCCTTGCTGTCAGTGATACTAGTCTACCTGTCGTCACATCATCACTACTCAGCTGTAACTTTCATTATCAGCAGAGTGTCCTCCTTGCTGTCAGTGATACTAGTCTACCTGGCGTTACCAAATCACCACTCATCTGTCACTTTCATTTTCAGCAGAGTGTCCTCCTTGCTGTCAGTGACACTAGTCTACCTGGCGTTACCTCATCACCACTCATCTGTCACTTTCATTATCAGCAGAGTGTCCTCCTTGCTGTCAGTGATACTAGTCTACCTGGCGTTACCTCATAACTACTCATCTGTCACTTTCATTATCAGCAGAGTGTCCTCCTAGCTGTCAGTGACACTAGTTTACCTGTCGTCACCTCATAACTACTCATCTGTCACAGTAATTTACAGCCGAGTGTCCTCCTAGCTGTCAGTGACACTAGTATACCTGTCGTCATCTCATCACCACTCATCTGTCACAGTCATTAGCAGCTGAGTGTCCTCCTAGCTGTCCGTGACACTAGTCTACCTGGCGTCATCTCCTCACCACTCATCTGTCACAGTCATTATCAGCTGAGTGTCCTCCTAGCTGTCCGTGACACTAGTCTACCTGGCGTCATCTCCTCACCACTCATCTGTCACAGTCATTATCAGCTGAGTGTCCTCCTAGCTGTCCGTGACACTAGTCTACCTGGCGTCATCTCCTCACCACTCATCTGTCACAGTCATTAGCAGCTGAGTGTCCTCATATCTGTCAGTGACACTAGTCTACCTGTCGTCATCTCCTCACCACTCATCTGTCACAGTCATTAAGAGTTGAGTGTCCTCCTAGCTGTCAGTGACACTAGTCTACCTGTCGTTACCTCATCACCACTCATCTGCCACAGTCATTAACAGCTGAGTGTCCTCCTAGCTGTCAGTGACACTAGTCTACCTGTCGTCATCTCATCACCACTCATCTGTCACAGTCATTAAGAGCTGAGTGTCCTCCTAGCTGTCAGTGACACTAGTCTACCTGTCGTCATTTCCTCACTACTCATCCGTCACAGTCATTATCAGCTGAGTGTCCTCATATCTGTCAGTGTTACTGGTCATTACCACTCACTCTGTTTATAGCATTCTTGTACAGCGACCTAGACGTGACCTCCTAGCCTAGTTAATTCTTGTTCGAATCCGGACAACCTTACTTCACCGAGTTTGTTATTTTTCCATTTTAGATATTGTCACCGTCTAAAAATCTTTATTAGGAGGCCTCGCGAGGTGGGGCGGCCAATAGGCTCACGCCGGGGGATGATCCGTATTGGTGCGCGGGGTGGCAACCCCCAAGCCCCGCCTCTGCCACCCTCGCCCCCCGCAACGCCACTCTTTTCTATAAAGCTGTTATTGAATTAAAGGCTATCATTTGATTTCCGGCGAGCAACGAGTCGGGTCCGAGGAGCCTCTAAATATTTCTATATAATAACATCTTCTTTCTCCCTCTCTCAAGATTGTGACCGGATTCCGTATAATCCGATAGAGCTTATCCGATTAGCGTCTGTCTGCGCCGAACCTCCGTTTTTTGCCTAACCGATTCGCCGATTTGCCGACTTCAGAGTGCCGTTCGCGAGTGCTATATGACCATGAGGTGACGTCGGTGTGATTTTTCGTTTGGATTTCTTATTTTCGATTCTTTTACAGTTCGCCGCTCAATTTTGTAAGTCGTAAACTTTTAACTCACGTTGTAAAATCGCTTCCAACAAGTGACTGAAATCGATAAGTTTTTTCGCCTTAATCAAACTATACAACCTTAAACACTTTTAATATTCCTCAGCAAACATTTCAAGTGATTAGACCACTATTACAAGTATATTCGCGGTCGGTTCCTCCTGTATTCCTCCAGCCTCACCATGGACTACTCGTACCTGAACCAAGCCGGAGTCGCGGCGGGGTTCGACACCTCCTCATGTTCCCTGACCCCCGGGCTGGACCCTGGCCTCGGTCCCTGCTCGTACGGCGACCTCACTTCCTGCTCCCAGATGAGCTACCGCTACACCGCCTCCATGGCACGCTCCTACAACCCCGGCGCCGCCACCATGGGTCACCACCTGAGCGGAGCCCCTGGACAGTGCGGAGTGATGGGAGGTCCTCGCCACCAAGACCACAGACCACCAATGTTTCCCACCGCCATGAACCTGCAAGGTAAACCTTCAAGTTTACGTTTTATATATGTGTTTTTACAGTAGTATAATTAATTCATACAACATGAATATTAGTAATAATTGACAGAATGATCTTATCTCCAATTCAGTTAGTCATTAGTTTTTTGTATTTGTTTTTTTTTGGGGGGGGGAGGGGGGAAATGTATACAAACAAATAACACGTTAGTTTCATGTAATTTACATGCAAATTAATTAAAACCAATAGTAGAAAGATTTAAGTGTAGATCAGCCTTCACAACAAGTGATATCTAAGTAATTATTTAATTTGTAGATTTTTCCTTCAAATACCAAACTTCCATGATAACCTATGTCTTAGTAAACACCTGAGTTTGAACTATAAACCTGGGGTTTCTTTAAAATTTTGAAACTAAGGTTACTTGAGAAGTTCTGAGAAAGCGTTTTATTTGTCAGGAATAAAAATCTCTTCATTTAAAAACAATGGTAGTATATGTTACTAACATAATCACCAGTACTAATGATAATAATGGTAACAAACAAAGAAAATACAATGAAAACTGACTTATTAAATTCAAGATATAACCTACCTCTTACACTTTACCGTACTTAAGAAAGTGGAAATGTTTTTACAAATAGCCTAGCAATGAATAATATCATGAAGTTTAAATCAAGTATAGTTTTTTAATAAATAAATAAAATCTAGAAAATTAAATCTATGATTCATTAATAGTCAATAGTGGATTTCAGACTTTAGTTTGTTGTGTTAAAATAAAATGAAAACTAATTTTAAAATCATTTGCTTCAACAGTTTAAATACTATCTAAATATTTATCTTTTAATTGATAAAACCTTAGTTGATATTGTTCATTACGTTATTTATAATTATATATAAATAAATGTGTTATAATCCGTACATAATAAGAAAAACTCATGTCTTATGAGAAAAATAAAATACATTGCATTATAAAATAAAAATACAAAATTGATGTTTTAAATAACTTTTAAAAAGGTGATTTTACTAATTCTTTATGTACTGCTCGGGAAAAAATAAGCCACTTCTATTACGTATTATTGCTTCAATATGATAACAATATTTCAAGTGTCCAAAGAATTAATATTTCTTCATTAATTGACAATTATTACACTTATTTGTAATATTTAAACGTCAGCAAATGAAAATGACTATCTACAAAAAATATTACAGTACATAATTAATTGTTGAAATTTAAGTTTGAAATCAATTGCATTCTTTTTTGAACAAATCCAATGAATCAGGTAATGATATACTTGTACCTTTAATTTACTTATTAGAATCTCTAGCAACTAAAAATAGCACGTAAAAAATATACAAAACCGTAACGAAATTTAAAATTAAAATATCCAAAATATTTTGAAAAATTAAAAGTATATTAGTTATTAAAATAAAAAAAAAATATAAACTACACCACAAATTATAATAAAATATGGTTTTAACCATCATATGTTTGTTTAAATCGCATTACCTAATGGAGAAAAAAACATTTTCATAATTTTGTAAATATCAAAATAACCATAATATTTACATTAAACCCTCTCCATCCCCAATGATGTAAAAGCACACCAGTTACGACTACAAAAGCAATCTACCAAGCTAGGGGTGAGCAGATCTAACCGCAGATCTAACCGCAGAGGTGAACCGCATTTATCCACTGTAACCGCACACGTCGACTACACACAGGTAGTGCAGTTGTTATGTACTGTGGCCGATCTGTCCATAGACATATTGGTTGTTGACTACACAGTGTATTTGGTCACTATAGTGTGTGATTGGGTTATTTAGTACTGTGATATTGGCTGTACTAAGGTGTTATTGTAGAAAATGTGTTTTTTATGTTGTTGGTTGAATGATTTCCTCTGTGAAACGGTGTTATTTCGTGCTTTTGACTCTACTAACTGTGCTAATTGCTGTACTGAAGGTGTTATTGTCTCTACGAAGTGTGTTTGTTATTGTAGAAACAATGTATTTGACTCGGATAATAATGATTTTGGCTGTGAAACGGTACTAATCTGTGTTATTGGCCCTACTAACTGTGATAATAGCTGTACTAAATGTATTAATGACTATATTAACTGTGTTATTGTAGAGAAGACAGTGGTATTAACTCGCGATCTACTGTGTTATTGTTGTTTTTGTCTCTGATAATTATAATTTTGGCTGTTAAACGTATCATTTCGTGTGTTTGTCTCTACTAACTGTTATTACTATCTGTTATTGTCGTGGACACTGTGTTTTTGGCTATGATAAAAATTAATTTGGGTGTAAAACGGTGTTATTTTGTGTTATTGACTATTTTAACTTTGCTAATGGCTGTACTGACTGTATTAATGACTCTGCCAACTGTGTTACTGTTGTAGAAACAGTGTTATTGACTAATAATTACGTTACTGGCTCTACTATATAAAGTCTACAGTAATCGAGCTATTGACTCTACTGAATGTGTATTGTTCGTACTAACTGAGGCATTTACTGAAAAAAATCTATATATTAATATGCAAGCATGTTTCTTTAAAATTTTTTTTTCTCAGCTCGTGTGCATCGTATGGAAAATCTACGCATACTGTTAGAAAGATATTTTTCTCTAGGTGTGCAGAATCCCTTTATAAATTAGAATAGGTTAAAAAGTAAGTAGAAAAAATGAATTCAAAATTAAAAAAAAATTAACATGGTCCTTATGGGTTGCCATGCTGGTGACAAAATAACAACGAAATATAAACAGAAAAAATAAAAAATTGAAGAAATCCCAATCACACGTTTTATTTACAGTGTGGGTGGAAGAGAATTCTGTACATTCATATTTTTGTTCGAGTTTTCGACCATTGGACGACCTCTAGTTTAACTAAATCAACTCCAGCTGAGTTATTTTAAGTAAAATTGTTATTCTCTCACTTACTGTACTGTTATTTTGGTATTAATTACTTCAAGTACTACTATTGACTTCAACCATGTGTTCTTGACTGCAACATCAACTCTGCTAACGTTTATTGGCAACGGCTTTATTAACTCTAAAATTGAGTCAATGTTCTCTATACTAACTGTGTTTTGACTAGATGGTAATCCAAATACTACAAACAGTCAATGATTATATGTACCGTGTAGGAGTAATTAAGGTTCCATGTTAGTACAAAATAAAATACGCAGGGCTTCAAATGCTTTGCTGGCATCGTATGGCTTATTCTTTGGCTCAAACCATAATATTGTGGAAATGGACATGTTAATTTAGTTAATCTAATCTTTATTATCTCTTTAGCTTGGTAATTTTATAAATTGTTTTTTATTGTTTTTTTTACTTGATAAAATTTTTTTTTTATGATGCAAGGATTGGCATATTATCTTTCAAATTGCTTCAATTTCCTCCCACTGGACTTCACATAGACTTACGTTACTCTGACATACTTTCATAAAGTTTTCTTTCAACTGCCAAGTTGTTAATGTTTTTCCTTCTAAGCTTCTTTAATTTGCTTCCACAGTTCTTCTTTCCAAGTCATTTATTTCCACCAAGTTATCCTTTTCAAACTTCCAAAAATTTTCTATTACTTCCATAGTGCACCTATTTATCCTTTTTCACCCCTAATTTTCCCCAATTTTCTTCTAACATTCTTCCATTTACTTCCACGGTGCCTCCATTCACCTTAAGTTAATTCCGTAGTCTTCAATCCTTGTCCCATTTCTTTCTATTTTGCATCAATTCTTCTCCTTTGTATTTAGCATTTACTTACATGACACCCTTCGCATTATTTTACAAGTTACTTTCAGTTTCCTATATCGCTTACTTTAATCATGCCAGAAAAAATATACTAGTATGTAGGCCTCTAATTCTTTAATGAAAATTATGGTGAGAGAGAGATACTACGGAGTAAATAGGGAGGAGTGAAAGTAGAGAAAATTGATGGAAGATCTGCGTGAAACGCGTTAAGTGAATCTGTAAAAGTTCTGGTCCATGTTGCGCCATGTTCTTCTCCTCCCTGTGGCGGAGTGATACAATTAAATAATTAAACTCCCCCGAGGTGGACCACCGTCACCTAGCAGCTGTAGAAACTTACTTCTTTTAATTGTGGAAAGAATTTGAGTCCGTTCCAGACACTTGATTGGTCGGAAACGAGTTTTAATTTAACTTTTCACATTTTCTAGCCACAACGAGAATGAAGTAACCTGTTGTGTTGAGCCAACATTGTGTTAGTACTCTTTTAATTCTTTCAGAGGAAATTTACTTGAATTTTATTTTGAGTGAAAGTTCAAACTACAGTTGCTGCTTTTAACATTTGTTTCTGTCATACTCTGTATGAAGGAACCTGACTCTTGACTCTTCGTCTACCTGGGGTAAATGGTTTGAGGTGCAGGCCAGTTACAGGAAGATGGAGAGTCAGCAGACAGGTTCCTTAATACAGACTATAGTGATTCTTTAATTCAGAAAATTAAACGTGTTTAAGACAAAACGGTCCATACCTTTCAACGATATGCTGAAGATCGGATCTTTCACTCTATAGTCTGATGTGGTAACTACTACAGTCTGTATGATGGAACCTGTCTCCTGAACCTTCTCTTATATGGGCTAGCCCAGGCCTTAAAGTATTTGCCAGTCCTTAGGTGGACCAAGGGTAAAGAAATTTGTTCCACCGTATGGACTATAGGCTATCAGTACACAACATTATGTGGAGGTTCAACCACTAGTCTTTGCGAAACAATTTATAATTAACTACAAAATGTCTATGGTGTTTTCCAAAATACAGGTTATGACCTTTGTTCTAAAGTAAAATCGTGATTGAATGTATTCGACCCCGTACCTTTGAGACAGAAGGCACCACCCAGAACAACCTTTACAACTTTATGGTATAGGATAACAAATGTCATATGAGACGTCGGAGTATACGAGTTTGAGTCCTAATAGTTGGAGTTTCGGCCAGTTTGGGGGATGAGCGATGGACCGAGAGTGTATCAAAGTGCTCGCTACATCAGGCCGATGTTCACGCTCATTTCTCAAAACG